AACACCCAGGACTGATCTCCTTTAGGATGGACTGGTTGGATCTCCTTGCAGTCCAAGGGACTCTCAAGAGTCTTCAACATCACAGTTCAAAAGCATCAATTCTTCGGTGCTCAGTTGGTTAAGGTTTCATAAATAAATATACCAGTACCACTGTAGCATTTAACAAGAGCTATTCCAAATGGAGGAAGTCACACAATTATATGTGTGCTGATGTGTGTAAATTAATATGCATTTAAATTAAATATATTATATTTATTTATTATAAATTAAGGGCTACCCTGGTGGTTCACTCGGTAAAGAAGACTGCCTGCAATACAGGAGACCCAGATTCAATCCCTAGATTGGGAAGATCCCCTGGAGAAGGGAATGGCAACCTGCTTCAGTATTCTTGCCTGAGAAATCCCATGGACAGAGGAGCCTGGTGGGCTAGAGTTGGACATGACTTAGTGACTAAACCATCACCATCATATATAAATTAAAAGTATACATATATTATACATATATAAAATTTTAAAATATCTGTACTTTAAAGTTAAAAAAGCAAATACTTAGCTGGTAACTCCAATTTTGAAATGTTTGTCAAAAGTAAACAGAAAAATTATTTTTCACTCACTTTAACACATTTTGTACCAAGATCCCAGCAACCACTCCCATAGTAGTAGGAAGACTGGCTGCACAAACACCTTCTCGTTTCAGAGTCTTCTCATCAATATTTGCAGCAACTACAAGTGGTGGAGCACACTACATGAGAAAGAATAAAAAAATGTGTATTTCAAAAGAAAGGGAAAGAAGTATTCAATGTTCCAAGTAGTACTCCACCACATTCAAAGTTTGGTTTTCCTTTGAACTATAAATATTTTCTCAAAGAAATGCTAGTACTTAACAATGAAAAATAATAACTCAAAATGAATCACGCATACCGCAAAACAAGCAGATTCTCCGGGAATTATGAGCTGTATATGCCCTGAAACTGCATTTTCACTGACCCCAGACTCCATCCATGTTTGTCCAAGCTCATTACAAGCCTTAATAGAAGTAAGTGAAAAATAAGAAAGAACATTAGAAAAAAAAAGTAATTTACCATAAGGTTTTTTCATGAAAAACTGGAGTTTAATTAAATGAATTACAAAGAGTTTTTAAAAATAAATTTTAAGAAACAAGAAAACTGTAAATAATGAAATTCCTTAGCAATTGGCACTCTCCTTAGAAACGTAACTGATAGCATTCAGGTAAGCAGTCAATAAATACCTAATTAAACTGAACCAAAGTGTACTGGTTACGTTAGATTAACGTAAAACACTTTTCTAAAATAATTTTAGCAACAATAAACTGCAAAATGTTATTTGCAAAGTTGAAAACACAATAATTCAAAAGAAAAAGAATTCAGTTTTATTTTTGAGAAATCATGTGTGTAAGCTATTAATATATATTTATACATTTACTTATAAAAGTAACAAAAGTTAAAACCAAGGCTGACCAAGAATAAGACAGTATTATAAGATATTCATTTATTTAAAAAATTGTACATCAGAATTATCTGCTGTCTAATAGTTTCCTCTAGTGGCCTAAGACAGAGTAGGATACTGAAACACATGCCTTACCAGCAAGGCTAGACAGGTCCCCTTGGAATAAATTTTAAAAATAGGATGAGATCACATTAAGAATAAATAAAAGCCAATATCAAAGGGCTTAAATGAAGAACTACTTTCAGAATGTGGAATATATACTAACAGAATACACAGGAAAATAGCTAAACCCATGAGTAGAACACAAGATACTCACTGTATTTATTGTCATTCGCGCTTCAAAATTATCCACACAGCTAAGAACTAGGTCAACAGGTTTTCCTTCTTCTAATCCACCATTACTAGGCAAAGAAAATAAATTTTATTGGAAAAAAATCAAGACACAAAACACAATCTAATTAGACTTTATTTGTTCAATCAATACATTTAGTCTTTCAGTAAATTTTTGAGTATAATTGTAACATAAAATTTAATATTAAAGACCCAGTATATATTAAGTATTCACTGTTACAAACATAATATCAATGATATTACAGTATTTCTTACACTGTAAAGATGTACAGGGGTATAAGAAATATAAACTGTGTTCACAAAAATTACCATTTCTCTGTCAGCTTTTATAGACTTATTCATGTTTCACTACAAATGTAAATGTAATAGAAGTTAATTGAATACAATTTCAATAGTTTATGTCTGCAGAAAACCATATTCAGATAGAAATATAACCTATAACACAGAACTTATAATGGAGGACCCCTTGCTATATCATTATAACAGACATTGTGAGGCTTATATTTTATTTTGTTGTTACTATTGTTTTATGGACCATACATACTATTTACTGAGCTACCACTATATAAAAATTACACAGAATATTAACTATTTTAAAAATAAAATATATATCAATCTTCTCATTGAATAAATTGATAGATTTTCTAATAATACTGAAAGTGAGCTGGACATTGTGCAAAATACTCATAAATAAAATTTTACCTTATTCTATTCATGAAATGTTCAAAGTTTTCTACTGTTGTTATATTGTAGTTGTGTGCTTCAAAAAGAACATCAGGATTAATGTTCCTAGAGGGAAAAAGAGAATGATTATAAAAACTACAAGTAGAACAGTAAAAGAAAGCAAGAAAAAGCACTAAAAAGAGCTAAAGATCATTTAACAGATATTAGAGAAATGGAATTCAAGCAATTTAAAGGAAATCCAAAATCCTCTTCTACCTCTTTTATCCCACTGCAAGGACCAAGTTCAAAACATGTAGAGTATCAGAAGGATTACAAAAACATTCCCACAGTCTATGTGCTGGGAATTAGGCCTTTATCACCTCTGTTAACTACACGGTTCAGTCTAACAAAAGAGCTTCTTTGCTTCTTATTCAATTCAGTGCAAGAACGTTTAGGAACATAAAGAAACATCCAAGAGTAAGAGCTGTCAAACTAGGTCCCTTGGGCTAAATCTGACTACCACCTTGCTACCTTTTTTTGTATGGTCTGCAAACTAAAAGTAGTTTTTATATTTTTAAATGGCTGCAAGCAAAGAAAAAAATCAAAAGAAGAACAATATTTCATGATGTGAAAATTATAAGAAATTTAAATTTTAGATTCCATAAAGTTTTATTGGCAAACAGTTTTGCTCATTCACTTTTATATTGCCTACAGCTACTACAACTGTATAGCTGAGCAGTTTTGACAAAGACCATATGGCCCTCAAAGCCTAAAATATTTACTATCTAGCCTTATAAAGAAAAAGGCTGCCAATCCACATCTTTATGAATAAGTGAAACCTGCATTTTTATAGAGGAAAATTCAGTTCCATTTATAAGTTAAGTGACTGAATACATACAGGAAGATTTCACCAATTTCACTGCCTTCAACTGCTATTCCATTTACCTCAAAGTATGTTCTGCTGCTTGAACTTTACTTAATCCTGCTTGATGAGGTTGGAAGAAAAGTCTATTCATATTGGCCAGTTCCACCTTGTCATAGTCAAAGAGTAGCAACTAAAATGAAAATAGTGGCAATCTGATGAAAAGTGTACCAAAAAAGAAAATAAAAATGACAAACTAGTCGGCTAATTAAAATTTGATGGGTTTAACTTTTTAACAGTAATAATATTAACTAACTTTGAAAAACTAGATGTCATATATTAACTCATTTAAGGATCACATGCAATAAGTATATAGGTACTCTCCTCATTTTAGAAATAAGACAACTAGGGTACTTGCCCAAAAGCCACTCAGTTAATATGTAGTGAACATGGGATTCAAATTGAGTCCTAACTACAATGCTGTGCTGCCCCTCTAAATGATTAGCTCAAAAATTAATATTCATTCCATTTCATGGCAATTTTCACAAACTGTGCCAAAATCTTACTTCATTCCAATTACTGGCCAAAAGCCAACAACCCATTAGATAAATGAAAATTTTAAATAAGATAAAAACAAATGCTGTAACTTAAAACCATGGTCTAATAATACAATGCCTTTCGTGAATATGGCACTAAATATACTCATGCCATGGCTCAAACATTATTCCAAACAGAATGATTAACCAGTTAATTGATATTTCCTGCTATATATTTAGGCATGACAGCATTTGTCAAACCTGTTCACACAACTTTAAAATGGCCAAAAGGTCCATTTCCTATCAGTAAGAGCAGGTTGAACTCAAAGATATCCAAAGTCCTTTCTTTTTTTTTTTTTAGATTATCTAAAATTAAATTTTTATTGGATGAGACTCAGAGTAGACTAGACATGGAAGGGGAAAAAGAGGATCAATGAACTTGAAAGCACAGCAGTGCAATTTATCCACAGTGAAGAAAAAACAACCAAAAAAAAAAAAAAAAAGAATTGAGCCTCTAGACCTATGGAATAATTCAAAGCAGTGTAAAAGTGATATACTTCGCTATAGTTGCCAAAGTCACTTCTTTATCTAAAATTCTGTGACTTTGTGATATAATTCTCAGTGTTCCAAATCTAACAATAAAAACAAAACTGGGATGTTCTTCTTCTCAATACGGAAACTAAAGAAAGTTAACCCAGCCCTTAATATCTAGATAGAAAAGATATCACTTATATTCTCTATAACTTTCTAACCGTACTTAGTCTTTCCAAAATTCAGTTTATTTAAGCTCATTCAAACAATATTGGGTCAGGCCAATCATTATGTCTGAGTTTCAGCCTCATAGCTATATAAGTAAGTTGTAAGAAATCCTAAATTTAGGGACAGGAGGTGTGAGTTGTAACTCTGTCAATAATTAGCTCTGATTCTGGGTAAGTCACTTTAACTGTTTAGGACTGTATCCCCATCTGTAAAATAATGCAGTTGATCTAGATCTAGTGATCCAGGGTACCCCAGGAACTCAGGAAATTTTCAGGGATAAGAAGTGGGCTTTGGATCTCCAATCCTCCATTTCCCTACTTAACCACATGAAATAGCTTCTTGTTTCTCTGTTTTATACATTGAAGAAAGAGTTCTGAAACTTACCTATGCAGATTCTTAGCTTACAAACTTGAGTACACTTGGAATCACTGTATTTAAAAATACAGATGTATGGGTCTTATTCCCAGAGGTTCTGATTACCTATTATGGGGTGCAGTCTGGACATAAGAATTTTTTTTTTTTAACATCCCAGGTGATTCTAACTACAGCAATATCATCTGGAGTTTGTGTTAAAATACAGATTCTGATTCAGCATGTCTTGAATGGGACCTGGGAATCTTCATTTCTAACAAGCTCCCATGTGATGCTGGGACCAGACTGAATAAGCAGTTCTTAAAGCACAGTCCCTGGAATATCATCAGAACCACCTGAGAACTTGTCAGAAATTCTTAGGTCCATCTGAAACCTACAGAATCAAAACTACTGGGTTAGAGTTCACCAATCTATGTTTTAATAAGCCTTCGAAGTGACTCCAGGGCACACTCAAACCAGGGACCCACAAATCTTCATGATCTCTACCACCCTTGGTCAATCAACCAGGGCATGTCAGCTATAAGCAATTGTTGACAGGCATTTATAAACTTCTTGAAAGATATTAAAATGTTAATAAACATTTTTTTAGTAGTTTGGTGTTGTCTTTTCTATATTGATAAGTAAGTGCCAATTTTGAAACCACTTTAAGAATCTGGGGCATGGAATGGACCAATATATTAAAGAGCATTGATAAAGTAAGCATTTTCCCACAAAGTCTATCAAAATGATACACAATTGTGGAAAACTTTTATATTCAACCACTATCTATCTAACATCATGGACTTTAGCTTTATAAATATAAGACTAGTACACTGGTTTCTGGTATATAAAGTCAACTTCTCCTTCCTCCTCACAATCACAATCTAAATCAATTTTAGAAAAAAGTATGGAACTTCCTGGTGCTCCAGTGGTTAGGACTTGGTGCTTTCACTGCCATGGCCTCAGAGTTCAATCCATGGTAAGGGAACTAAGATCTCACAAGCCTCACAGGGCATGACCAAGAAAATTTAGAAAAAAAAAAAAAATGCCTGGGTTAAAAAAAATCTGGAGCATTCAGCAGTTCAATTTAAAAAGTAAGAAAGGCACATGCTTTCCAGTTTGTCTTGTATAAAACAAGTTTTTAAAAAAATTTTGGGGATGTTTCAGTGTTTCATTACACTTTCAATTTAACAGCCTTCTTTCCTAAACTTCTTTAATTAAAACACTGTAATCCAAATTGTTTATACATTATCCCAAACAAAAAAGTTCCTGAACACAATCAGATAGTCCTTATTTAATCAGCAGCAATATTAGTTTCCTCTTGGGTGGGTTTATGTCTTAACTGGGGTAGAAAAAACAATCTGAATGAATACACCACAAATCAATATGCCATTAGTAAGGAGAAAAAAAAATCTTAATTTGTACCTTATTTACTCCACAAGTGAATGGGTTCCGAATACAACAGAAAATGAGAAATGCTTTTACCTTGCCAATGCCACATCGGGTCAGCATTTCAGCAGTCACACTGCCAACTCCACCAACACCTACTATTGCTACAGTAAAGGTACGGATTTTCTGTAAAATGAAAAATTATATATGTGTTGGTTAATAATTCTTCACTGAAAATGTCATTGAAAATTATTTTCATTTACATCTTCAAAAATCTGGAAGAGTTTATCATACCTCATAGTCACTCACAATTCCCATTCGTTTCAAAGCCATCAGGCGGCTTAAAAAAAAAGAAAAAAAAAGTTTTAAAGTTTACAGTCTTTTAATTAATAGTGACATAGGTAAACATACATCATCACAGAAAATAAACTGTAAGAGAAGAAACAGTGAGGGGAGTGGGGATAAAAAAAAAAGGTGTTTTAAAGCTTACAGTATTTTAANAAAAAAGAAAAAAAAAGTTTTAAAGTTTACAGTCTTTTAATTAATAGTGACATAGGTAAACATACATCATCACAGAAAATAAACTGTAAGAGAAGAAACAGTGAGGGGAGTGGGGATAAAAAAAAAGGTGTTTTAAAGTTTACAGTATTTTAATTGATAGTGACATAGGTAAACATATATCATCATAGAAAATAAACTGTAAGAGAAGAAACAGTGAGGGGAGTGGAGGTGGGAGGAGAAATCTTTCAGTTAATTTTTACCAGATGAAACTAAATCACCTCAGCAAATTTAAAAAGCATGGATGCCTGAATATCCTACAAGACAGAGCCTGTGCAATAAGATTTTTTTAAAAGTTCCTCTAATGTGCAGTCATGATTGAGACCTACTGACTCAAATGTTAAGTTTCCAGATGAGAATGGATCAAAGTGAAATTTCAGCATTTTCCCATGCTTATTAGTTTATGTAAATATTTAATGTTTGATTCAGATTTAATATTTAACATCAGAATAACCTCATGACTGGAACTCTATTCACTTGTTGCCTCTGCCCACAATGGTAAGTCTTTTAGTAAATGCCTTTATTCCAAGGACTCTAAGAGGTACTTTAGATATTTAGTTACCGCTAGTCTGTTACCTTCTTCGGTTACCAAGCCAATCAAACTTTGGATGTGAGGCCTAACAATCTGTGTTTTAATAAGCTCCCCAAGTGACTGTAATGCACACTTAAGTTTGAGAGCCTTTACTGTAGATTACTTAATTTATTCTCTTGTTATGGTTGGAAGAACATCTTCCTAAAGCTTTGTAAAGGGTAAATTTTGGAAGGTAAGTTTTGAGACCTTGTATGTCTGAAATATTCTTCACCAAACTTCTTAAAAACATTTTATCAAAATTTTATTCTTAGAAATATATTATAAAATGACAAGCTGAAGGGTATATAATTGTTGAAAGCTATACCTATACACACAGACACAAACACACTCTTAGTTGATAGTTTAACTAGATATATAACTTTACATTAGAAACAATTTTCATTCAAAATTTCTCATGTGATGTCTAGTTTTTGAAACTTCAAAATGTGCCTTAGAGTGAAATTATTCTCATCAACTGTGCTGAGTACTTACTGGACTCTTTCCAATCAGAAACATATTTAAGTTCTGGAAAATTTCCTTGAACAATGTGATGACTTCTTTGGTTGGTTGGTTGGTTTCTCCTGAACTTTCTGGAGCTCCTATTATTTGGAAGTTGGACCACTTGGACTAGTCCTCTACTTGTAATGTCTTTCCTCTATTTTCCATCATTTTAGTTTTCTGCTGTTCTCTGGATTTCTTTCAATGTTATTTTCTTTTATTGAGATTTTCACTTTTGTTATCATTCTCCATTTGCAAGAATGATTCTTTTTGTAGTACTGTCCTATTCCATTTATACATATATCTTTCTGAAGATATTAATGATAAGGTTGCAGTTGCATTCCCCTTATATAGTCTATTAATTTTGTTTTCTATCTTTCACATTAGGAGCTTCTCTCATCCTTTTTGCTCATATTTAAAAGTCAGACACTAATAAAGGCAAGGATGTGGGCACTGATTATTTGACTTTGGGCTTCACTATAGTGTGATCTCGGAGAAGGCAATGGCAACCCACTCTAATACTCTTGCCTGGAAAATCCCATGGACAGAGGAGCCTGGTAGGCTGCAGTCCATGGGGTCACAAAGAGTCGGACATGACTAAACGACTTCACTTTCACTTTTCACTTTCATGCACTGGAGAAGGAAATGGCAACCCACTCCATTGTTCTTGCCTGAAGAATACCAGGGATGGTAGAGCCTGGTGGGCTGCCGTCTATGGGGTCACACAGAGTCAGACATGACTGAAGCGACTCAGCAGCAGCAGCATAGCGTGATCTGGCTGGGCTGTTTAGTTGAGAAACCCACAACGTCAATGTCTTTCAGTCTTTCTTCTTGGCACTCTCAGATTCCCTAGAGAAGAATCTTTCAATTTCCAGCCTGAAAAGTCTTTAGGCTGATCAGTTTTGGGGTGTTAAATGGAGAAGCAAGGCTGGGAGTCCTAGCATTCAGTATGTAAACATTTAGTTAATTCCCTTCTTTCGGACATGAAGACTTACTTTTATTACTCATAGAAATACTCTATTTTACTCTCCAATGAGTAAATCTCTAGCAGTCTCTCCTGACAAAGAAGAAGCATTGGCCTCGCTACTCAAAAGTAAAACAATGAACTTGGGTTGCTTCTTCAACAGACTTTCAGCCGTCTCATTTAGCCCTACCTTAAGCCGTTCTTGAAAGACCTATGCTTGTTCTTGAGCTTTGAGAGAATTCTATTGTATGAGTTGGGTTGCAGCCTTCAGGATCCAATTTCTTGGATCCTTTAAATCAGGATCATCTATCAGTCATCTGTCCCTTTCTAGTTTCTAAAACTGTTTTACTATAATCATGTAAGTACAGAGACTCACCCATCCCCCAATTATTAACAGAAACTCTTATTTTTTTCCTCAGTAGAGATTTATTCCTTTTTAAAAATTATTCCTTTACTTTCATTTCAGTGAGATTGGGTAGACAGTGATATATGTCTGTGATCAATCTACCTCTTTACCTTGATGCTGTCTAATCCTTATAAATAACCCTGAGAAGAATGCATTGCTGGAGAAGGAAATGGCAACCCACTCAAGCATTCTTGCCTGGGAAAGCCCATGGACAAGAGGAACATGGCAGGCTACAGTTCACACAATTTTACAGTTACTTGTGTTCATCATTATTCTACAACCACTGAATCTCCCAAATTAAAACAAAAGGTCTTTGAGGGTCAGGAACTTTGTACTTCAAAATGTCACTCGATGCAATTAAAATAACATAGAACACCTACAAATCCCTCTATATTTTTCTGATAATCATGTGCTGTGCTTTATCATAATTCTTACCAGTTATACTCTAATCCCAAGTTTACTTTTGTATTTCACACTTATCTGGTAACCTCTGGAGGGAAATGACCATGTATTTGTATTCCCAGTGTCTGTGCAAATAATAAATGGTAAATAACATTATTCAGGAGGGCTGGAAATGAAAAGGTGCTCACTAAATATGTGCTGAATGTACAACAATTCAAAAAATAAGGATGACCTTATCAAATTTCCATGAACTAGTACAGAGCTTTGGGTGTCAACTGCCATCTCCAAAGTACCAGTTTTAATAAAGACAAAATGGTACAAATAAGATAGAAAATACTAAATGTTTAAATTTCAGTAGTGAAAGATTTGTGGTTATTATAATATCAAGAAATTGTCTCACATTAAAATGATGTCTGAAAGATGATTCTAAATATATGATTCACATTCCTTTGCTTTTCTCAGAGGGAGCATTTCAAAATTTTCATTTTTAAAACTGAAAAATGTTTAAGCATGCCAAAAGGAATGAAAGTGACTCATGCTTAGTCATGCCTGACTCTGTCACCTCGTGGACTGTACCCCACCAGGCTCTTCTGTCCATAGAATTCTGCAAGCAAGAATACTGGAGTGGGTAACCATTCCCTTCTCCAGGGGATCTTCCCCCCAACACAGGGATCAAACCCGGATCTCCTGCATTGCAGGCAGATTCTTTACCATCTGAGCCAGGAGAGAAGCCAAGTGGAATAGCTTCTACTTATTCTGATTAATAAGATGGTAAACCTTTCACATGTGTCAAGTAAAATACATGCACTATCGTCAATTATATCTCAAAACTGAAAGAAAACAACTTTTTTTTAATGTAGTAAGATAAATGACAGAAAAGCAAGAATCTGGCATGATTTAACTTAATGTAGGTTAAAATAAACTCTTCTGTAATTATACAACAATTATAATTTTGGTCAGGTTTTCTATGACAAATAATATTGTAATTAACAGCTTTGTGCCTAAATACTGGGTCTGCATTTTATGTTGCAATATATATGAAGTCGCTCAGTCATGTCCTACTCTTTGCAACCTCATGGACTGTAGCCTATAGGCTCCTCCATCCATGGAATTTTCCAGGCAAGAATACTGGAATGGGTTGCCATTTCCTTCTCCAGGAGATCTTCCCAACCCAGGAATTGAACCCGCGTCTCCTGCATTGTAGGCAGATGCTTTACCATCTGAGCCACCAGGTAAGTCATGTATGCATATATATGCATCCTAAGACTTTTACTGAGGCTTTATGTCATAAATAAAACCTTTCTTTAAAATCCAAATTCCTGCTCTTTGAAGGGAAAGAGCACCAATAATACCTTTCCTGTTTCACCTACTCTAAAACTGTCCAGTTTTTAGCCACACTATTTAATGGCTTATTTATTTTTACTGGGGAGACAGCTCCATGGGAACTTCGGAGCAAAACAAACCTAATGGCAGTCCAAGCCTTTTTAGCTACTGTTAGCTCTATGGCCTGAGGGAAGTCACAGCACCTAATTTATTTCGCCTATAAAATGGGGGTAAAATGACAGTAGCAATCTCCTAGGGTTGCGGTGAAGAGGAAAAGTGACAATGCCTGCAAGGTGTTTAGCAAGTGGTGAAAGTTCAGTAACTGTTACTATAATGCCTAGCATCGAAAGCTCTAAGAATTTTACACATACTTGTATTTTCAATCTTCACTCCACAGAAAGAGATACTACAAGCAAGAAAGTGAAGGTACAGAACTCTCACCAGGTTACTCAGTTGCTAAGATTTGACTCCAGTCTGGGCCTAGGGTCCTTACCGTCAGTCATTACCCTATATTCAACCACTACCCTATATTCAACCTGATGAATTAACAAAATCTTGGGAAATGAATAAAGGAGAGGAAATGAAGAGGCGGACAGGACAGGTGAAGTCCAACCGTTTTAGAGCTAATCTAGCTGTTTACACCAATTTAAGAAACACAGAAGACTTTATGAAGCTCCCAAGTTTAGCTTATTACATTTGGTGTCCTAGTCTGAAAGTTTCTACTATCAGTTTCATGCTGACCGAGGAAGACTAAAAGAGGCAGGGGCTGCAGGAAAACAGACCCGTGTCCTCAGCAAGCACAGGAGCAGCACCATATGGCTGATTCAGTTGAGTTTTTTTTTAAAGGAGAAAGAACACCTTTTGACCAGAACTAAGACTTGGCCTTGCTCGTTTGGAAATAAGACCCTAGAAGAAGAAAAGGGAGGTGTGACCTGTCAGTCGGACAGCGGCGAGAAGCGCCTCACTTCTGACCACCTGGAGACCGTGACCTCGCCCCTCTTCTGTCCCCTACCCGTCACGTAGCTCACCTGTAGGGGTTGGAATCCACCACCTCGGAGCTCATATTTGCAATGCGGGCCCGACCGCCTCCTCCGTCGCCGCCCCCAAGGGCGCGGCGACTTCTCTCCTGGGCCAGTTCCCGCTCCAGCTCTTCGACCCGCTGCTGCAGCCGTTCCACAGACTCGGCCATGGCTGGGACCCCGGCCGCCAGCGCTCCCAGCCCCGGCCGTCGCCGTCGTCGCCGCCCCACGCTGCTGGCCTGCTGGGCCCGAGAGGGATATGTGGCGAGTCACTTTGCTGCGGTTTTCCCAGCCCACAAACCTGGGGAAGCGCTCCCAGCGCGATCCGGACAGACACGTCTCGGCTGCTCCTGCGGGCCTCCCAGCGGGCCACTTCCGGTGTGTTGCAGTCAACGCTCCACCTCAGGAAAAAAAAAAGAAAAATAAAGCCCCCTACTTCCCCTCTTCGCCCGGGCCTAAGAGTCCAGGCAGCCCTAGGTCCCGGGTCATAAGTGTCCAGAGCCAGCAGCCTGCGATGTTGCCTTTCCAAGCTGGCGGCCAGGAAAAAAAGCCAGAATCTTTTATTCCTAGGCTCGAGGTGTTGACGGGCCCTTTTCTGCACCGGACCCAGTAGGTCTTCCGCCTGCCAGTGCTTTCAATTTGGAGACGGTCCAGGCCCTAGCGTTCTAATGCTCTTGGTGACGAACGTGACTTTGCTTTCTTTAGAATTGAGGTCTCCAACTCTGAGGCTGACTAAAAACTTTAAATTCGAACACACAAGGCCCTTCTAGCATTTCCTGAGTAGAGCCCAAATCCAGGAGCAGCTGGCCAGTGTTGCCGGCCAGCGGCACCTGGCGATGTGTAATTGGCTGGAGCCGCGGGCCCGCCTCCACCCGGACGTCTCGTTCTTGCCCCTGCTGTGGAGTGGCGTTCTAGACATACAGGATCCCAGGAGTCTAGTGGGTTCTGTGCCTCTGTGGTCTGAAGCGGTAGCGTAGATCATGAAAAGCGGTGCCTCCCGCGAGCCCAACACGACCGAAGTGCTGCCCCAGCACAAGTTCGACTACAGGTTGCTGGACGCCTACCTACACCAGCACTTACCCGGCTTTGGGACCGAGCCCGAGACCAAGCTGACGGTTGCCCAATACAGGTATCGACGCCAGCGTTCTCCAGCAGAAACAAATCTGTACCTTGTGCTTCTCTTCCTCTGGCCCTGGGTGGTTTTCCAGTTTCCTCCACCCTGTTTCTTTTTCCGCAGTGACATACTCTGTCGGCGGGAGCTGCTGTCACTGGCTCCTGCCATTACATTCTGAGTATTTCCAATTCCAGGGCGGTAATGGAAGCACTGTAACATTCACGATTCCAGCTATGAGAAGGAATCTTTGTTAACAGCTATATACTTTGAGAATTCACTGAGGCAGTTAAGATTGGAAGCTCTGTGAGATATAAAGAGGCCGTTCACTCAACCTTTGTTCTAGAACCTTGTTTTCCCAGAGAGGCAGATGTAATTCCCGTCACATTGGCCATATTCTTAGAGGCTTAGTTAATGGTACCAGTTGAGGGATCCGAATTCTTATCCTAGCTATTCCATTTAGCAAATCACAGCACCACTTTGGGCTTTAGTTCTTTTTGAAATAGGGGAATGAAACTAGATGACGGTCCTGAGAGTACTGTCTTGTTCTCCACAGTGATCTGCCTCTAGTCTGATGTTGTTGTATAATAGAAGGTAATTTACAAATAGACTTTGCTCTAAAAATGGCGTCTTGATAAACACAGAACTATAGAAGCAATCCTGGCTTCCAGAAGAATTAGGTGTGTCACTTACTAACTGGGAATTTAAGTACCGTGGTACATAAACTCTTTGATGACTAGTTTCATAACCTGTAATAAATACTTGCCTGCTCTGTATAATCCTGATGAATGAAGTAATATAGGTGAAAGGGCTTAATGTTATAACAGCACTGTTTACCAGTGGCTTTATCACAGGGGTTTATATTCCTTCCCTACTGATTTCAGAGAAATTAAAAATAGTGGAAAGGTGATGGATCAGAAAGGGTTTGATGGTGTAAAATGAAAAAGCACTATGTGGAATTCTGTAGCTGTCCAGTGATTAAGACTCAGTGCTTTCACTGCTGGGGCCATGCAGTGCCCAAATTAAACAACAACCAAAAAATAAAAGGCACTGTGTCACATAGTTACTATAGGATGAAGCAGCAGGTGGAATAAAAAATTGGCAGAGGTTTCTAGACTGAAGCCTTGTGTAAACAAACTAATAGATAAAAGTTCAAATTGGCTATGGCAATCTGCACAAGTTATTTAACTCTTTTGAGCATTGAATCCTTCTTTGGCAAAGTGGAGATAATATTTATCTCCTAGGATTGTTTGAGAATTATCTGAGAGTTAATTCTGAATTAAGTTGAATGTTAAATCAGAATTGTGCTTGATAAATGGAAAAACTAGTATAGGACTAGTTAGATAGATAGATAGGTAGGTAGTATAGAACTATAGATAGTATAGAACCATCCCCACAGAGAATACACATTTATTTCCAGGACACATTGAAAAGTTTATAAAAATTGAAGACATGTTAAGCCACAAAAGAAGTTTCAAAAATTCAAAAACATTATTCTTAAAAAAAAAAAATTCAGAATATAAATGCCAAAAGCTTAAAAATCAACAGAGGATAGCTAATGAACACATTTTAGAAACTAGTTGATATGCAGATTAAACAGCCAATAATCTACAGAAAATAATGGAGTTTATCAAAGTTCAGTATGCAAAAATCAATCAAATTTGTCAACTTTAGCAACAAAAATGTAAAGATATAAATTTCAGATGAAATTAATAAGAGCATCAGAAATACAATTTTCTCAAACATTAATAAAGTATTTGCAAGACCTTTGTAGAGGAAATTATAAAACTATTAGAACCTTAGAACTAAATACAATGAAAGATGCCATGTTCATGAATAAGAGAATTCAAAATTGTATGTTTCTGTTTTTTTTTTCCCAATTGATGTATAGATTCAGTGCAATGACACAGTCTTAATTTTTTCCCATAATTTGAAAAATTACTCCTAAATTTTATGTTCAAGAGCGAAGGGCTAAAAATAAAGGAAAACACTCATGAGGAAGAACAAAGTGGGAAATATGAATTAAGATGGCTTATTTTTTCACAGAGATAGACAGACCGATAAAACAGAAGAGAGAATCCACAAAAAGACCCACATAGGTATAGAACTTTGACATATGATGGTGCTGGCACTAAGAATCAGTCTTTGGAGAGTTGGAGGGAGAAGAGATTTTTCAGTAAATTATACAAGGATAATTATTATGTATATGAAAAAAGTTGAAATTAGACCCTTTCCTTACTCTTCCTCACACAGTTCCAGGTCGATTACAGAAGAATGGTAAAGGCAAAACTAAACATTTGCGGACTTCCCTGGTGGTCCAGTGGTTAGGAATCCATGTTGCAGTACAAGGGACACTGGTTCAATCCCTGGTGCAGGAAGTTCCCACATGTCTCAGAGCAACAGAGCTGGAGCACCACAACTACTGAGCCTGTGCTCCAGCTCCCAGGAGCCACAACTCCTGAGCCTGCAAAAAGAGCAGCCCCCACTCGCCACAACTAGAGAAAGCCCATGTACGGCAGCGAAGACCCACCACAGTTAAAAAATAAATATTAAAAAAATAACCTCTTAAACTGTAAACATTTGGAAGACATATACAAGCTCTTTAGACTATGGAGTGGAGAATAAAGTCTTTAAAAAGACAAAAGCGCAAACTGTGAAGGAAATGATTGGAAGAATCCTTAAAAGGAAATAATAGATGAAAATATTTTCAGTGTATACAATGGNGGAGTAAGCCTCTTTAAATTTCATGGTTGCAATCACCATCTGCAGTGATTTTGGAGCCCCCAAAAATATATCTGACACTGCTTCCACTGTTCCCCCATCTATTTCCCATGAAGTGATGGGACCAGATGCCATGATTTTAGTTTTCTGAATGTTAAGCTTTAAGCCAACTTTTGCACTCTCCTCTTTCCCTTTCATCAAGAGGTTTTTTAGTTCTTCTTCACTTTCTGCCATAAGGGTGGTGTCATCTGCATACCTGAGGTTATTGATATTTCTCCTGGCAATCTTGATTCCAGCTTGTGCTTCTTCCAGCCCAGTGTTTCTTGTGATGTACTCTGCATATAAGTTAAATAAGCAGGGTGACCATATACAGCCTTGAAGTACTCCTTTCTACACTGTAATAATTGGGGGAAATGCAAATTAAAATGACAAGATACCATCTCATAGCATAATTTTTTACTTAAAAAGTCTGGTAATATCATGCAGAATATGAGATAACAGGGATTCATCCACTATTGGTGAGGGTGGCACCCTGATGCTGGGAAAGATTGAGGGCTGGGGGAGAAGGGGTCGATGGAGGATGAGATGATTGGATGGCATCACTGACTCAACGAACATGAGTTTGGGCAAACTTGGGGGAATAGTGAAGGACAGTGAAGCCTGGCAAGCTGCAGTACATATAGGGTCACAAAGAGATGATTTAGTGACTGAACAACAACACAACAACCTTGGAAAACAATTTGGCACAATCTTGTAAAGATGAAAGATCTACATGCTGCGTGACAAAGCATTTCTATTCCTAGTTGTATACTCCCAAGGAATTCTTGTACTAGGGTATCAGGAGATAATCTACAAAAATCTTTGCACTTTTTGTAATAGTAAAAATGCAGTAATAAAACAACATTCATCAATTAAAGGATGGATTAATAAATTGTAGTATATTCACATAAAGAAACACCATACAGCGGTGAAAATTATTCAACTGCAGCTATATGCAACAACACAGAAATAAAAACTGGACAAATAAACAGTATATTGTTTAAGGGGATAAACTTCAAGGGACTGATAAATGTAAAAATCAAGACGGAAGTTACTCTGAAGAGAGACGGAATTCTTTGGTGGTCCAGTGGTTAGGACTCAGTGCTCTCACTGAGGTGGCCCAGGTTTGATCCCGGGTTGGGGAACTAAGATCTTGTAAGCCATGTGGTGCAGACAAAAAGCAAAAATAAAAAAATGAAGGGAAGGATACACAGAGGGCGTTAGAGATGGTAATTTTTTCTTTCTTAAATTGTGTAGTGAGAACACTGGTATTTGTTGCGTTACTGTTATTTTAAATATTATTTTTTACCTATGCAAAGTTTAAATCATATTAGAAATAAAAATATTTTGACTTAAACAATAGTGAAGATGTTGTATAATTTGATACAACAAACCCTGTGATTTCCAGGTATGTGTATATTATGTGCCTGGCACTGCTTCAATCACTGGTAATTTAACAACAACAACCAAAAAAGATCCTGCCTTTTTGGAACCTGTGTTCTATCTGGAGAAGACAGACAATAAATAAAATCACTTTCTAAATATTATAGTGTATGAGAAAGTGATGTGTATTATGGAGAGAAACAAAGGAGAATAGGAAATGTTTAGGAGGGGGAAGCAGAAAGGCCTCAGGGAGAAGGTGGCATTCAGCAAGGAGAGAGAGGGATGTAAGCCCTGTAGCTATCTGGGGAAAGACTATTCCAGACAGAGGGAAGAGCAGGGACTGTGAATGGGGAGTGTGCCCAGTGGGTGGAGAGAATGCAAGCCAATGTGCCTGGAGTTGTGTAACGAGGGCAAGATAAATTTTTTTGGCTTTTATAAGGGCTTTGGCCTTTACTCTAGCTAACACTCTTCCCAGGTGGTGCTAATGGTAAAGAACCTACCTGCCAACGCAGGAGATGTAAGAGACACAGGTTCTATCCCTGGGTCAGAGAGATCCCCTGGAAAAGGAAATGGCACACACTTCAGTATTCTTGCCTGGAAAATCCCATGGACAGAGTAGCCTGGTGGACTACAGTCCAAAGGGTCACAAGGAGTCAGACATGACTGAGTGACTAAGCACACAGTTAGCTGAGATGGTCAGAGGTCAGGGATTTGGGGCAGAGAAAAGAAGTGATTTGTTTTTTTTTAAGTAGAATCTGTTTGCCTATTTAAACAGAATCTGTTTGCCTATTATGTTTGACTGAAGGAGGCAGATAAAAGGAGACCAGTTTGGAGTGTATTGTGATGACCCAGTAGAGAGGAATTAGTGGTATGGA